TGCTAACCATTACACCCCCTCGAGGTGCCCGAACGCTAACTATATATGCTCATGTGAAAGATTTCGTCTGTTGTGAGTACAGATTTGATCCTTGTCAGAAACCAGTATCTGTATTATGGCTCTCGAATATACAGTCCTGTATGCGTATATTTACAGTGTTTAAAATCGGCGATATCTATTGAACATATACCCACAAAATATAATGTTTTCAGAAATATATATATATATATATATATATATAAGAGAGAGAAAAAACCCTTCAGCAATGAAAATTGTATAAATTATTTCTTAACTCAATATAAAAGAGAAAATAAACAGTCAATTGGTGATATCCCCTGACGAGTGAAAAGAACGATTGCTAAAGTGACCTCTAGAGTTGGGACGTTGAAAATAACAGCAGTCAGCTAAGAGACAATATTTATATTTTATTAATTATATATATATATATATATATATATATATATATATATTAAAGAATATCAAACACATAAAAAATACCATATGTTTGTAGGTCTAGAAGATTGAAAGCTGCTTTCTTAGATCTCTCATGAAAACAAAAATCATTACCTATGGGATTTTAAGTGTTTGATATTCTTTAATTAATAATAATTTTTCACTGTCCTTTGACGTAAAGCTCTCCCTGGATCTAATACTCTTAGAAAAAGGAATCCATTTTTCATTTCTCCCCTGCTATGGGTAAATAACAGCACAGACTGGGTTCTATAGCTTTGGATGCCAAGTGGTCTCGAAGGACAACTTCGAATTCAGAACCTGAAGAGGGTCGTTTGTGGACAAATTTTGTCCAAGCTTTCACTTCTATAATCAAATCATCTGTGCGACTGCCTGGCTGTTCAGTTATATGTCGAAAAAGACGGAATAGCTCTGTGTATATATATATATATATATATATATATATATGTGTGTGTGTGTGTGTGTGTGTGTGTGTGTGTGTGTGTGTGTGTGTGTGTGTGTGAATAAAAAGACAAGAGATAAAACTATTCTTAGTCGACCGGTTTCGTCCTTTGAGGGACTTTAGCAATGTAAATGTAGGATTTATTTTTTTTGCACGTGTTTATATACAAGAGAAAGCTTGTCATTGGTTTATCAATGCTTTTAGAGTTGAGAACGTTCATGGATATTCATCAGGTGATTGAAGGGCCAGTCAAAACACGTGGAAGACACAACGTGCCACAATTCAGGTAAGTCTGGTAAGACAAAAGTAAGCGAGTAATATTCTAGGTTTTTTTTATTTCAATAAATGAATATTGTTTAATTTGTGATTAGATTGATATGGTTTGGGATGGACGAATGTGATATACATCTTCAAAACATGAGGTAATGCATTTAACCGTTTTCTTTTGATTTTTCAACATGTTTGTAGTCGTATATGTTGGCTTGGGAAAGTACTAATTCTTTCAGGAAAGATGATATTGTAAGGAATCCCAGGCGTAGGTCTATATTTTCATAAGGTCCTATAGGACACTCTCGAGAAATTTCCTTCTGGGTAAATTACTTTCTCTTTTTTTAGATCAAAATTATCGTTGAATCTATTTCTCTCTATAACTAGTGCAATTGATAAATTGTCATGTATAAGGTCCCTTTTATGTTGATAGATACGTTTTCTTTTGATTTCTATATGTTTCCGCAATTTTTTTTAAATCGGTATCACCACAAGCAAGCTAAGTAAAGCCATTAAAATCAAGGGGTTTACAGTGTGTGAAAGAATTAGGAACATAAATATTAATGAGCAGGAAGGTAAAAAAGTAATCAGCAGGATAATGAATAACGATTGACATTGCATTTAAGTTTTTGCAGATTAATGTTGGCTGGAAAGTATGGAGCCGGGAGCGAGAAGAGCGAAGAGAAGAAACTGCTAGCATAGAACTTACGGCTACATCTAACCAGCTCTATTGTAAATTGGTGAGACCTCATCTCCAGTCTAGTACTGCGCTTAAAATCTAGGCACCAGAGTGAAAAAGCTCATCTGAACAATTACCATGAAAGTGTATATATATATATATATATATATATATATATATATATATATATATATATATATATACACACACACACACACACACATATATACATATGTTTTCCTCTACTGTTTCTTAGTCTGTTTATATTAATTTCCCAACCCGTTACTACAATCGAACTACATAACAGCTATTATAATTGTGTTCAAATTAAGGAAAGTGGAACGTCAGAGCTACACAATCTTCTCAACCTTCACTAATCTCAGTACTTGTCGTTTACTTGCGTTGTCTGCGATATGTTTATAATTTGCAAATATATTTTATCTGTCTATTATTCTCCCAAACAAAACGCTCGTTCATAATGCAACTGATTCGATCATCCATATTCCGACGCAGGAAAAGCAATAATGCAATGGATGAAGGCCTCAACGTTGCAGTCTGAAACGGAAATTAAGCTCTTTTGGATAGGACCGTAGTATTTTGCTATCACTCGGCGTCCAGGATTAATTGCATGAGTAGAGACGCAAATACGCATGCGCAAGCCGTGATCGTCGCAAATAAACGACGCACTCGTACAAAATCAGCGATCAGACAACAATAGTTGAGTTTTCACTTACAAAAAATAAAAAAAAATAAAAATAGCGTATGCGCATGTGCACTCAAGACAAGATGAACTTATTCCTACTGACACAACCACCCACACCTACTCACCAACATACACACGCACACATACCCACACACACATATATATATATATATTTATATATATATAACCACCCACGTAATGTATGAATATTTGAATATAAACACCTGTCTAAGCATAATTTTAATTTCTTAGTGTTGTCACTATTAATTATTTCTGACCGATTTTTCTTTCATATTATTTTGCTTTTTACGACTTGTAATTGACGCAAAATTCTTAAGTCGTTCACATTTTTACAGCATTGTCATTATTAATAATTTTAAGGATGTGCACTCATGTTTTATACATTACGCGGAATCTTTTCATCAGGTACGGCACAAGAATCTATTTGAACTACCTGGAAAACTCGATGTATTTCGATGCTGTTGATTGAATTTGTTCAATTTTGCTTAGCGGCATATCAACCTGTATGGGTTGTTTAATGCTGAAACTTAAATATTTTTTACGTCATTTTATGCTTTCAAAAACAGATATTTTGTACATAATTTCATAGTTTCAATATAAAGGTGTTTTTTTAGATATATATTTTGTAGATCATAAAATGTATTGTTCGTAATATTTTTGATAAAAAATGTAATGTTGAGCAGATATTTTTATAAAAATATATTGCTGGAGGAGGCATAGTTGAGTAATGGACCGGAGCTCGGATTGAGTAATCGGAGAGTTCGAATTCCAGTCAAATCTTTACATTCAATATACGTGCTAATGCCCTTGGAAAAGGTAAACCCTCTTCTCCCCTCCCCAGCTATGGGTAAATAGCAGGACAAACCGGGTTCTATAGCCTTGGATGTCAACTGTTCTAACGCAGAAAGAAATGGCAACCTACTGAGTAAAAAAATCTGCCTCGTCAGTCATGTATCGAAAGATATATGATCGCCTAAGCGTATAAAACGCATGGCAACATGCTGGTGATTTTGCTATAAAAATAGTTGTTTTTTTGTTTGGAGGGTCACTATTTGCCCATAGCTGGGACCCTAATAGGTGCTACCACACGAGTCAACAACTAAGAGGTGATTCCACGCTCCTCAGAAAGAAAACTACAGGACCTCCTAGACAGGACTAACGATCAATACAGAAAATATGGTCATCAGCAAAAGAAAAAGCCCATTATACGACTTACGAATTGGATATATATAAGCATCAATCATATGCAGGAGTTCAAATATCTGGGTAGCATTTTAACAAAGGATAGAAAATGTGACCCCGAGATCCGAACACTAGTGAATAAATGCATTCCAAAAGCTAAATTTATGCAAGGCCTATATTGACTGCATACAAACAGAACATAAATTTAGCTGTACAAAAAGAGAAAGGGGCGTGAGACAAGGATACGTCTTCTACCCAGATTTATTCAATGTCTACAGTGAGGCTATCTTAAGGGAACTGAAAACCCTACCAGAATTTAATTATAGGCGAGCGTAATCTTAAGAATATGGATTGTCGTTATCATTTTTGCTGTTAATTCTCAAGAACAAAGGAAATGTATAAATTTACTTTTAGTAGAAGTCTCATCATCGCTTTTTAAAACAATATTAACGTGGATTGAAGATAGTTAAAATAAAAGTGGTATCAACGGAAAAAAACATTCTTTTGACTTTCTGGTTTTTCCTCCAGTACGAAGGTCCAATTCTGCCAAAAGAATCATTTAAAAAGGTACAAGAATAAAACGAACAGAGAGAGAGAGAGCGGTTTTGGCGAGAGACTGATGGAGTAATGGAGCTTCGCCTTACAATTATTTCAAATATTCTGAAGAAAATTCTGAAAAGTATTCGGCCCAATTATTAAGCGATTAAACAAAATCAGATTGTTGGCCATTTGATAAAACTCAGAAAGTGAAGCTTGGACAACGAAATGTTTATTTGGTAGTGTGTTTGGTTCCCTGTGTCGTGCCAGAAGGTTTTTCTCATCTGAGTTCATCCTATACATTTACAAATCTTCCATTCATCAATGAATTGAATTTATGTTCGCCCTCCACACGCGGAGATGTCCTTGACTTCGAATCACAGTGGGCGGCGTGGGTGCGTAGATGATTAATGAGTCCGATCTTCATCCTGAAAAGTCTGTTTCAATTTTGATATGGGATGCTGGAAGCTGAACCAGGCTGGGAGGTGGGGTGTCCCCTCGATCTTTCCGTTTCTGGCGTCTATGTTCTTTGTCTCTGGTTCTTTTCTCTTCAAAATCAAACACTCCAGACTTTACAAGGGAGCACCAGATGGCACGGTCCTCAGCAGACTCTTGCCATGAGGAACGGAGAATGACACAATGCTTGGAAGACTCCTGGTCTTTGTAACGCATCTTTTGTCTGCCAAGTGATCACTTGCATGTGGATAGCTCGCTATAGAGCAATCTCTTTGGGAGGCGACAGTCGTCCATGCGGCGGACGTGGCCAGCCCACCGAAGCTGATAGCGCAGTAGGATGGCATGGGTGCTCTCCATCTCTGTACGCTTGAGCACCCCTGTCCTGCCACTGTTACTTGACACGGAGCAGGGTTCCATGGAATCTAATATGGAAAGTACCGACTGTAGAATGTCCACACCTCGCACGTCTAGAGCAGGCATGGTAGGATTACAGCTACGTACACTTTGAGCTTGGATTTTTAATCTCCGCCTTCGTCGCTCCCAGATTTTATCCTTCATTCTGCCGAAGGCTGCGCTGGATTTGATGATTCTGTAGGCCACTTTCTCATCAATTTTGGCGGGGCGTGACAGAGCGCTACTAAAGTAGATGAGCTTGTCTGCAACTTAATGTTAGGTTCAATTTAGAGCGCTGTAGTTTCAGGTTGGGGCAAGACTTCGATCTTCTTAGTAGAAATTTTAAGGCCAAATTTTTTGCAGGCTTTGGAGAATAGATCCACGCTGCCTTGCAGATTGGGTACTGGCGTTGAGCGCATAGTCTTCAACGAACAGGAAGTCACGGGTCGCATATTCATGCATTTTTGTCTTTGCGTGCAATCTGTGAGGGTTGAAGCGTTTACCGTGCATTGTCGAGGACGTTGAGAACCATATCAAGGTTCTTGAAAAACTCTAAAGACGGAATTGCCTTGACTTGAAACCTCGAATCCAGTTACTTTCTGTCTTTTCTACAAACATGTTCATGGCAACTGATCTGACGAGCTATTTTCTCTAGTGCCCCGACTTCCTGGATTTAAGGGTGTTACGATGTTGGCATATGTGCCCTACACTTTTACGATTCAAACAGTTAAATGTAAACTCATCTTCTACTTCCACAGCTTCCCTCGCACTTCCTGACAGTGGAACTCTCTTTCTCTTACTTGCTTCCCCGATAACTATAATCTTCAAGTATTTAAATGTAACGTCAATCGTCACTTTTTGATGCCTTCTTTTATCCTTTCCTCAATCCCCGCTATATCCTGTATTACCTTCACTCTCTGTAACCTCTTGTGTACTAGTGTGAAATGCTTTAAAAAAGTATATTTGAACATATCTTTACATACGACTCCCGCTTGTGCAGATCAATCTTAACTCCGAAGCCTCCACTTCAGAACAGGCTCGACGTACTTGAGTTCGGCTGTGACACAACGAACAGACAGAAACTGATGATTTGCTAACACTCATTGGAAGATTGATCGTTTTCTTCGCTTCACGAGGACCTAGTCACTTCCAGTCCCTTTTTAAATCCTTGAATCTTTCGTCTTATCTTTACTCCTTAGATCCAGAAACGTATAAATCAGCGCTTCTCAACTGGTACTCGGATGAGCTCTAAAAGGTAACTAGGCGCACGGATGAGCTCTAAAAGGTAACCAGGCGCGCCTCAAGTTAACAGAAGAGCAATTTATGAATTATTTTTATATTTAAACAAAATTATCTATAAAAAAAAAAGCTAGAGACACCAAGAACATGGCTTCTATTTCAAAGTCAAATCTTCGTCATTTGATATTTTAAACTACATGTTAAATTCCTTAATTTTTAATAAGGATGGGATAATTCTTTCCTCTTTGTTTTCTTCAAGGTATAACATATAAAGCCTATCATTCAAAAACTTACGAAGCAGCTTTCACGCAAGCATACTCAAATATACAGTGTAATGTCTTTAAATAAATGCTTATTTCAGGCAACATCTTATTTGTTTTCCTATTTTCAAATTTCATGACTAATTCTTCCTTATTAAAATTGAAAGTTCGCCTACGCGTTTTATTTATTCAAGTGCGTCCTGAAGTAAAAAAAAAAGAAGTTTGAGAAACACTGGTATAGATATTCAATTTATTTTGGAATTATGGTGATGTAATAAACTGAAAAAAAGCTATAAATGACAAATGTTTTGTCTCGTGGGAGAAACGCTGTCGATTCATAGTTGTGAATTGCATCTACCCAAAAAATGGCTTCACCGAAAACGTTAATCCTCATTTTGTCGACTGGTAGCATCAAACCTGATTAGTACTTACAGGATCCGTTTGGGAACGCCGGGTAGTTTAAACAAATAGGCTTAAAGACGAAAAAATTAAGTAGCATAAATACGCCAGTGAAAATTTATAGTCAAAAATATTTATGTTGGTTTCAATCTTGATTGGAATGACTTGAATTCTTATGGATAATTAAAGGAAAGTTTTTTGTAAACAACAAAAACCTCTTGAGAAGAAACTGATCACTTGTAAGATGAAATGTCTAAGGAAAGCAGTGAACAAGACCAGGCGAGACAAGATTAGGTATGATGCAATAAGAGATATGGTAGGAGTAATACCAATCATAGAACACATCGAACTACAGAGGATCAAGTGGTTCGGACACCTTGTATGCCTATCAACCAACCAGACCTACGAGCATGCACCCTCAGGTACCCTGGCTGGAGAACGAGAAGCAGACCAAGCGACTCAGTGGCAGACACTCTCAGAGCCCACGAGATATTTCTTCTCCGGGCCACTCGCCTTGCCGCTGACAGACGACTGTCTCTTCCCGTGACGCCTAACCATACAAGCGGAAGGGAAAAAAAAAAGTAAACTAAACACTAATGGGAGTGATTTCAAAAAATGAAAAACAAAAAAATGATTAACTGTTTTGTAAAATCTAATCTCTTATATGACTGTAAATGCTGTACAATCAATCCATACCTTTCAGATGGTAAGCAAAGTATTAAGATATAGGAAAATATCGTTAGAAAAAAAGAAAAGAGTACTGAACTGCTATGTTATATCTAATATCTTATATCACAGCGAATAATGGACAATCACGTCATGCCTTTCAGAAAGTAAGCAGCGTATTAAGATATAGGAAAATCTCATTTGAAGCAAAGAAAAGAGTGCTGATGTGCGATGAAATATCTAATCTCCTATGTCGCAGGGAATACTGATGAATCTAGTGATGCCTTTCAGAAACTAAGCAATGTATTAAGAGATAGGAAAATATTGTTAGAAACAAAGAAAAGAGTGGCGAACTGCTATGTAATATCTAATAACCTCGATGGTAGTGAATGCTGGAAAATATACTAATGCCTTTCAGAAAGTAAGCAAAGTATTACGAGATAGGAAAATGTCGTTAGAAACAAAGAAAAGAGTGCTGAATTGCTAGGTAATATCTCATCTTCTATATGACAGTGAATGCTGGATAAGCTTCACATGCCTTTCAGAATCTAAGCCAGGTATTAAGAGATATGAAAATGTTGATAGAAACAAAGAAATGTGTGTTAAACTGCTATATAACATCTAAGCTCTAAGGCAGTGAATTCTGGACAATCACATCATGCCTTTTCAGAACCTTAGCAACGTATTTAAAGATCGGAACATGTTACAATTTAAGAAGAGTACTAAACTGCTATGCCATATCTAACCTTCTATAACGTAATAAACATTCGACAATTTCCGCACATATGAAAATGAGACTTGAGACAACAGAGAAGAATGCTGATAATACCATGGACAGAACATGTGAGCCACGTGGAAGTTTTAAGGAAAATGGAAACAAAAAGACACTTATTCCGCTAATTAGAAAGAGACAGTTTAAATAATGTGGAAAGTGGGTTTAGACAATGCGTGGGTATGTAGTGTGGATGTGTGCGCGCGTGTGGATACGTGTATGTGTTTGCAAGTCAATTACTACTTTTAATATTAAAGTTAACCCAATACAAGGCTATTGAGCCACTTAAGGTAGAGGGTCAACAAAATAGCATTGCTGAATGAGGTACATAGTATGAACAAGAAATGAACGTTGTGATGATGAGGAAGAGAAAAGATGGCAATTGACAGTTGATTTCAAGAGGTTAAGATTGAGATTTTCAAGGAAACACGCAGACGGGGATCTTTACAACAATGGGTTATTTCTTGGGGAAAAGTTTCTTCTTGCATTTGGAACATCGATGGTGGAAATAAGGAAGCTTCTGTTCCATGGAAGTGGCAAGGCAGCTCCAAGCTGTAAAGATTTGAACTGGTTCAGCTAATACTTGAACACTTGCATTTGAAATAGGAATAGATTAGTGATAGGCTTCAAACGTTGACTCTGTGGGAAACAGTTTTTAGGAAGGAAAGCAAGTCATCTATCTTTCTATCGCTTTTCCTTTCTTTTTTCTTTCTTTCTTTCTTTCTTTCTTTCTTTCTTTCTTTCTTCCTTTCTTTCTTTCATTCTTTTTTCTTTCTTTCTATGTCTGCATATTCTTTTCTTTTGTATCTATCTATCTATCTATCTATCTATCTCCATTGCTTTCTATCTATCTATCTTCATTCCTTTATCTCTCTCTCTGTCTTCATTCCTTTATCTCTATCTTTCTCTCTCTCTCTCTCTCTCTCTCTCTATCTATCTATCTCCATTGCTTTTCTATCTATCTATCTATCTATCTATCTATCTATCTATCTATCTATCTTCATTCCTTTATCTCTTTCTCTATCTTCATTCCTCTATCTCTCTCTCTCTCTCTCTCTGCTTATTCCTTGCTCTGTTTTTTTCTTATTATCTATCTATCTATCTATTTTCATCCCTTTCTTTCTTTCTTTCTTTTTTTCTTTTTCTTTCTTTCTTTCTTTCTTTCTTTTTTCTTTCTTTCTTTCTACTCCCATTACTTTCATTCCTTTTCTTTCTTTCTTTCTTTCTTTCTTTCTTTCTTTCTTTCTTTCTTTCTATCTATCTATCTATTCTCATTCCTTTTTTCTTTCTTTTTTCTTTCTTTTTTCTTTCTTTCTTTCTATCTATTCTCATTCTTTTCTTTCTTTCCATTTCCGTTCCTTCTTTCTTTTTTTCTTTCTTTCTTTCTTTCTATTCCTTTCTGTCTTTCTTTCTTTCTATTTCTGTCGATTCTTATCTATTTCAGGATATATATATATATATTTTTATATTGTGTTGATGTAACGTCGAATGATTTGACCTGAAATTCTGCGTTAATATACGTCAAGGATGACACTGTTTCATTTTCCTATATTAACCCCTTGTAATATATAATTTCGGTGGCTGAATAGTAAAATAAATTTCAGAACTCTCTTTTGTTCTATTTTTCATTCTCTCGAGTCACAATGTGTGGTATCCCGACATTTTTCTCAGAACTATTCAAAATTACGTTATTTGTAATGATCGTGGTCTTCAGCATTTCACGTACATGCTGATTGGGTTTTTAAAGCTGGTGAACACGGTAGTTGATTGCAAGTTAGCTGGGTGTTCCTGAAACACGTTCAATATCACCTGCACACGAACGGCTGGTTACGTTATTTCGATGTAACAACAGAGTCGCAAATATTCTACAATATGATCTAAATGACACATCCGTTAAAAAGATTTCCAGTTTTATTATTAATATTTGTAAAAACCAAGAGAACACAGTGCACACAGAAAATAACCACAGCATATTTTAGATGTGTGTAGGTTTGTGTGGGGGGAGGATCCATAGAGGCTTTTGTTGTTGTTGTAGAAATAAGACCATAGTCTGAAACTAAATTATCTTTTAAATTTTAATTTGACATTTTCAGGTGCCGCTCGTAGTTATGAATGAATTAAGTGCATTGACAAGCGTAAAAATATAACGCGTCCCTCACCCAGCTTTCCACCGACATCGTTGCATCTCGATTCTCGTTCACGTCAGTCTGCACTGAAAACTGGGAAAGGCCCACTGCATGTTCACAAGGCAATGAAAGATGAACACAAAAGCCACATCGTGAAATGAGAACACGTTTTGTTCACGGCTTTGCTCGACACCTGGGACAAATTCTGGTATGTCGGGCTAACAGTTCAGCTCTCCCCTTCTACTAACGGAGAGCCCATCACGACATATGGCTGGTTAATACGAACAGACGATAACGAACCACCAATCTGTCTCCTGTTAAGGGAAAATCAAAACTCACTTCCTTGATTCCAACCGTGATCGTAAACAGAGACTTCTAACCGGAAAACATCAATGACCGGTTTGTTGTCACTTAATCTCTAATGTTTTCTTTTATTTGTGTTTTTCGTCCTTTTCTGTCAAGTCGTTGCCGCTTAGAAGACCCAATGTAAAAAAAAATCATCCACCGAACATAAACTAGAAACACTTGTGAAATAAGATTAAACTTTCTGTTCTACGTGCGGGTCCCGATCATAGTATCTCACAAAGAAGGAAGTTGTACTGAAAAGCAAATAGTTTTCGCGTAATATAAATAGTTCATTTTTTTTATTTTTTTTTATAATATTACGCTTTCGACATGTTGTTTCCCCTAGAAATACTGTGAAGCAAATTTCGGGTAACTTAACAGGAAGGAATGGTTGCCAAAAGAAAGATGGATTCAGATCACTCCCAACGGTTTAGCGCTAAAATGAATGCAATAAAACAAAATGGAATTCGAATTCCGTTCAGTGATTCGAATTTTTGCGTAGAGTAATCTATGACAAAACACCCCTTTTTATATTTAAACCCAGCCTCTACCCTTATAAGAAATTGCTTGGTGGTTGATTGCTGAATTTTGAAAGAACAATCTATGCTGGATCGATCTCACAAGAAACGTTTACTCAAATACGTTAACAATTACTACTATGCTGATGTTCGTTATAAAATATTGTTAAGTCATTTATTTGATTTGTCTGTTTAACAGCATATCAACTCCTTATGGCTCATTTAATGCCGAAATTTAATTTTCTTGTGTACCTGGAAGTAGTATTCTGCTTTCGCAATTGAATACATGGTAGAGGATACTCAGCTTTGTTCATATGCATGTTTATGTGGACCTAATTACCGGGAGGCGGTGATATGTGTGTTTTATATTGTAGCTTTGTTGAAGTTATATTTTGGAATATAGTTTGATTTCTTTAAGGAATTGTAGTATATTGTATCTCATCTCTCTCATCTTGAACTCACCAATACTTTGATTGGTGTAGTTCATAATCTTGTCAAATAGCTGAATTCTTGACACTTCGCTAGGGTTATCAAGGATGTTTTTATCGTGACACCAACACTAAATGGATTGCCAACCAAGGCTCAGAGAGACTCCATTCACCCTCCTCTAAGAGCATGTGTGAATTCAGAGTTTTCCTTCTCCTAGACCAGTTTCCATCCAAGGCTATAGAAACCAGTCTGTCCTGCTATTTACCCATAGCTGGAGGGAGAAGAAAGAGGATTCACACCTTTCCCAAGGATATTAGCACGTAAGTGAATGTAATGGATTCGACTGGAATTCGAACGCGGCTCTCCGATTCCTCAATCCAAGCCGCTATCCATTACTCTACCTCCAAATATATATTGTATATACATATATTGTATGGACTAATGTCATAATGGAGTTCTTTCATGTTAGTTGTTTGGTTGATTTTGTTTAGCGGCATATCAACACCTCTATGGGTTATTTAATGACGAAATCTAAATATTTTAACGCCATTTTATGACTTCAGCTAAATATCTTTTGAATACAATTGTATTTCTTCAGCACAAATAAAATGTATAGTTGGCCATTTTTCTTTAAATGTATTGTTGGTAATATTTTATATAAAAAAATATCGCTGCTATTTTTACTATAAAATATATATTTTATACTTATCATAGCGTTTTGTTTATTTTTCAGGTCAGGGTAGGCCTAGGAAAAACAGCAAGATTTCCAATGTAGAGGCCTTGAACCGGGATGTTGTTTATCATTATATCCAGGACTATACTGGCAATTAATTAGTCAAACACAATATGTTTTCATTTGTTACGAGATCTCAGAATAAAAGCAATCGCAATAATTTTTTATTATCAAGAATGAGGGAAGTGTTTGAAATTATATTGTCGTTTGATCGACAATATAATTTCCAAGATTAAAATTAAGAAAAATAATCTCGGTTAAAGATCAAAATATTAAGTTGGGATATTTTATAACATCCTCTTAACTGGATTAGTGTCGTGTTTACGTCCATTTAATCAAATAAATTGATCCTTCCTAAAATTAATATAAAATATTTCAAAAATAGAAAAGAGATCGATTCAGCATGATACAAATTCTTTTCTATCCAGAAAGTCTGATTCTTTTCAAAAGGAATATAGGAATAAAAGAATCGACCTTTTTAGTATATCAGGCAAAGCTGAATATTGCTTTATAATTATTTTACGATGGAGTGCATCGCTGATCAAGCAACGTTCAATAGGGCCTTATAAATGCTAATCTTTCTCGGACTATCGAAAAATTCATATCAACTCGGTTTCGTATTCTAACGTGAACAAAGCAATTTCTAAAGAAGTGATGGATATTTTATTTAATAACCTGAGAGTTTATATTAATTAAACGTTATTTTTAATGGATAACCATATTTGAGTAGCAGATCAGTTTATTTTTTTAAAAATATATTTATTTATTTTCGTCTACTGGCCTGAATGTTAGAGAAATTATATTTAAAAAAATATATGCTCTCTTGCAGGATGCGAACCTGCGTCCACCGTGGTAGGAGAAAAAGTTGTTCGATTTTATGTGGTCTAGACCGACTTGACCACAGAGTGCGCGCGTCGATCAAGCAAAGTTAAATAGTGTCTTATAAATGCAAACCTTTTCTCAGACTCGCGAGGCATTCGTATCTGATTAGTTTCGTATTCTAACGTAAACAAAGCAATTTCTAAAGAAGTGGCGGATTTTTTTTTATTTATATTATGGTCTCAATCGAATTCTTTGCTCCAAGAGATCTAGCTTCGGTGAAAGAGATACTAATCCTGTCAGTTAAGGTAAGTTTTCGTTTTGTCTTTTTCTTATATTATCCTTTCACAGATATACACAATCTGAAATTTTAACACACACACACAAACACATACACACACACACACACACACATATATATATATATATATATATATATATATATATATATATATATATATATATATATATATACAAAAGTGAAGATTGAAGTCAACTCCCATCACCTGAGTTTTGATTTCACTGTTCACTTTTATATTTTTATATTTACATACGCTCTGTCTCTGATATTGATCACTTTACCCCATAAATATAGCACACCTTAAACTATATTTTTTATATATATATATATATATATATATATATATATATATATAAAGAGAGAAAGAGAGAGAGAGAAAGGGAGAGAGAGAGGAGTGAGAGAGTGAGAAAGAGAAAGTGATAGATAGATATGTGCAATGTGTACATCTGTATAAAATGTGACATTTTGGGGCTGAGTTATATACGCCTTGAATTAGTTACGTTATGTCTACTCAATATCTAGATGGCTGACTGCCTGGCAATACCAGGTACTGTAGGCTTGGATGTGCGGGTGGTGTAATGAATAAAGGACAAGAATTACAAACCGGGGAGCCGGATTCAAATTCCAGCCGGCTTACTTATAGTCACATACGCACAAAATACCTTTGGGAAACGTGTGAATCCGCCTCTCCTCTTTCCAGATACTGGTTAATTAATAGGACTAAATTACTAAATCATTATTATCTCAAAAATATTTTACAGTTTAAAAATAGTTTCTGACTTTAAATAACCTTTAAACGGTTGATAAATCATAAAAATAAATCACTCGATTTGGTTACGATGGTTGTTCGTTCAATGTTTATACATGTTATCCTTGCATTTGGTATTGATGATAAAACAATAATATTTACTGTTTAAAAATATATAACTCCAATATTAATATCAAGTACTTCTTTTTAGGTCACTTCGGGACAACATACATCGGTGTAATAACTATCAACATTTCGAGCCAATAATTACTGCTTTTTTTTTTATAAATCTTTTAATATTAAAGGTTCAGATGGTAAACATTCACAAAGTTTTACATAAGTTGGCAAGCCATTACCTTCACCAACATATTATACTTTCTAGAACGGAAAAAACATTATGAAAT